TGCACTGCCTTAGATTCCGACACTGGTTGGGACATCAGTGCAAGATGCTGTTGTATTCTAAATATACAATGGCACTACCCTTTAACTACAGTAGTATATAATGTAGCCTAACATGTCAAACACAGCGCAGAGAATGCTCGGGATGTCTTCTTCACTTTCGTGTACAATCGCACAATGGAGAGAAGTATGTTGTTGTGTATGAGTAGCGCCAGCAGCATTTTGGCACAAAGTCGGTTTGGGCAGTTTACAGTTTACACGTGAGTGTTTCCCTGTCTTCTATGTCTCTGTGTAGACCACCCAGGAGATACTAGAGATGCTGTTGCGCTCATTCTCTTTCCATTTTCTTATATTTGTGTCGGTTACTTCTTCTGCCTGGATGACCTATTCTTGGAGCCTTATTTTTTACACAGTTTATTGATGTAGGAACGTTATGTTTGCCAAAATCAAGTAATTGTACAAGTCCACACATTACTCCAAGTCTCATAATATTCAGTGTGAATCGGCCTTAGTCAAATGCATCTATACAGAAAATATTATATCATTAGAAAATATGTCGTCATGGACAGAGCCAGGACTATGGGAAAAGAAAATATGCATCAGAATACTTTTTGTAGAACATAGAGCCAATAATCTCACAAAGAGAAAATAATATGTAGATTGTGAACTGTACATATTTTTGAAAGGTTATTTGATTGAGTTATCTGATGAAATAATTATTATTTTTGATGGGTCTATTTTGATGGCATAGTGACGTTCAGTATTATTGACTTTTAAGATAAGACACAAAAACATGCTCCTAAATCCAAGACGCCAAATTCTCATCCATCATTTAAAGTATGGCTGTATACTGTAGCAGGGGCAAATCCGTATGGTAAGAGTAAATAAAGTGAATAAAGTTTATTTTAGACAATTGTTTACAATATAAATATTGTAAATCTATCGATCCTTGTTAAACAAAAAGTCATGACTAGTAGAAAAAGCCAAATAATATATATATTTTAAATAAGGCAATAATCAGGTCATAATTTTGGTTATTGACAAGGTCACCACTTTTCTATTGTGCAAGTACTTGGCACATGAGCCACACTGCACTCTGCACGGCCGGCATGCACGTGTTTACGAGTAATCATGGCATCTGTTACATAAATGGAACATGGAAAATACAAATCACTGCAAACGAAAGACAGTCAGAGAAAAGTCATACTTAATTATGAGCGTGTGGGAAAACATCTCTAATGATAGAATGAATGAACAAACACAATCATTCCTATTGCACACGACAAGAGAGGGTGCAAAAATAATTAGGGAGAAAGGAGGAAATCAAACTTGTACGATAAACCAACAAATTTACGAGTGTTCATTGTTTTGATGAGAGCTGTAATTAACGGTTACACAAAAAAGATGTTAGGATTTGACATAAATTTGCATTGAAAGAAAACCACACATTTTGTCAAATGTCAGATTCTGCTGTGATTACAGCTTTATTTGAGTAATAAATCCTGCTATCTGCTTGTTTAGTCTGTGTATGATTAAAAATAACAATTATAGAAATACTAAATTAACAAAATGATTTCACTAATCAATTACCTTATTACAGCTCTGGGCACGATACACTAACACTTAATTGAACACGTCTCCATGATGTTGCTTATTGTGGTGACACTAATCATAAATGACACAATCAGGGTGAGTTCAAGCTGCAGTCAGTGGGTCACAAGGTTAACACAAGGCAAATATTTAGGAAGGAGGGCAACCACTATTAAGGCCTAACACAAAGTCTGATCTCCACCTTTAACTATGACGTTTCAGTATTGGTTAAGAGTGTAATGTATTATTTTGAAGCAAAATAAATGATTCAACACAGCAACTATTCAATCGAATTTAGATAGTGTTTACATAATAAATATGCAACGCTACGTAATCTATAGAAAGTATAATGTTACAAAAAGCTGTCAGTTTCTATAGCTATAATATTGCATCTCTGTGACATGTTTGGATTGTGGATGCTTGAGATGACCCTGGCGTGTGGCTGCAGGAGACTGCGGGGGGTCTTCCTGTTTATCATGTCCTCCGTGTGCATGTCAAACAGTTTATCCAACAAGGTGCTCTCTCCCCGCCTGTCCTATCTGTGGGACCAGCACTAATAACACGGTGGACATGGCCTCGTTAATATACACCCACTTGGAGAGACAGAAAACATGAGCCCGAATACCTGCGCACTAGCCACATATCATCTGAAGCACACCGGCTGCGCTGCACAGGCTGAGACAGGAAGTCCACTGTTAAACACCATTTTACATAAGTGGGGACCAGTGTCTCAGGGGGCCAGAACCAGCACTGAACTTGGGGAATGCAAGGCAACGTCCAAATGTAAAATGTAACATAAGCTATAAAAGAGCAGTCCTTCTCAAACTGTGGTTCATGTGGTCTACACTGTCTTTTTGGTCTAAAAACGCTGTATTTGTTCCTTCTATCCCATGCAGTTGAACAAAATTAGTTTGTCCCACTGCAGATGTCAAAGCCGGAGTACTTTAATACGATCTAACTAGCTCCACACAAGGCCTCTGTCACATCTTCAGCTTTTGAGGTACAGGAATTAAATGCATCTTTATTATTATCACTATTATAATTATTAGTATGTGTTCTCCTTTAATGTTAATTTAGCACTAGAAATGAGGCCGTCTCATTCAACTTAAAAACACACTACACCTGTTCAGATCTGGGGTACTTGGAAGGCCAAATATTCAGTTTTTTTCAGATCCAGGACTCCCTTGAAACAGACTTTCTTAACCTCAATGGGACTTTCATGGTTAAATAAATATTAAATGAAAAATAAAATTACTACAGACAATAATTATAGTGACCAATCAATTATGTGGCTGCATATCCTATATGTTTTGGAAACATTAAAAAGTGTCATAAAACTTGAATTAATTTGGATTTGGATCATTTTAATTGTATGGTTGTGTCTTTGAACATAATACCAAAGTATATTCAGGGGAAACTGCTCTTGTGGCTGGCCTGGATGACTCTGTGGAGACTTAACTGTCTTGTAAACTGGGCATCAGCTCCACGCCGTAATCCGAGAGGCAAAAGCGGAGCAGGGAGAGAGCAGCAGGATGAGAAGGGATCAGGGTGTGTTGGTATGCAAGAACTGGAGGAGGTGGTGGTGGTCATTTGCAAGCCGGTTTTATCTGCCATTATCTGATATGCACCAAATGTCGTTGTGGGTGGCAACATCCATTTCTCCTCCATCCACAAGAGAATCGACTGTCACTGTTTTTCACAAAAACAACACAAACCACATTTATACAGCACGATTTGTGAAGTTTACAAAATGCTGACCATAAGCAATCAGTTAATGAGTAATTCACTTTATATGTAAAATTAATAAATTAAGAATCCAGAATTGGGTTTCTGAAGTTCTACAGCAATTAAAACAATAATATACCAAAAACATAATGAATAAATCAATTTAAATGAAGTAAAGACCCGCTCCATACAACAATGAAAGGATGTAGACAGAGGCAGACAACAACTAGGGTGTTGGTGTAACGTCTGCAGTCACTTCAAACACCACAGAGGGTCATTCAAAGTACAGTCTTCACCTTTTTCCAGGTTAGTTATAATGCATGCTTGTTAGGCCTGGACATATGTGAATGTGTGCATATAAAAAAATGAGGAGAAACAGAGCTAAAAGGATGGTGTGTGTGGGTGGTCCCTCTAAAACCAGAGCTCCGTCATCGAGCTCCTACACCGTGAGTGGAAGTGAACTGTTAAAGGCCACAAGAGCGGCCTGACTGAAATCACAATATCCTAAAATGAAAAACTACAGCGCGCAGATTATTGAGGTGGAACATGCGTCGAGCCAAAATTGTCTAGAGGGGCTGCTGATCACGTTTAATTGTACGTCCACGGGCAGGTCTTTCACAAGGGGAAACGTAGATGTGTGGAGCGTCATGGCCAATAAACATTTCAATAGATTTAAATAGCTGGACAACTAAAAGCACTAGGCCTGAGTCATAACACAATGACGCTAGAAGCTTCTTCAGTACAGGTCCACATGTGCAATGCTTAAGTGACTCAAATGGGTTTTCCCAAAACCCATTTCACTATAGGTGACGTTTTTAAAGAAGTGAAGGTAATGTGGCCTATTGTGATGAAACCTGAAATGTATAAATGTGCTATAATGTGAGCTCACAGTAAATGTTATATATTTTTGGTTTAAAACAGTGAAAATTAATCTTTCGTCACAGCATTGTTTGCTCCTCCCGTCTTTCTGACAGCCTTCACTCTCTCCGTCTGTCTGTCTCTGTGGATTTCCTGTGGCCTCAAGGCTTCTAACTGCCCTGCTCTCAGGGGACAAAGCAAGTCCAATACACACTTGCACAGTAACACACAAAATAACTAACATGATAGAGATCTTCAGGCTGCACTAGAAATCACCCTCCAAAATAGACAAGATTTTGCCCATAACATGACACAGGAGAGATGGAGAGAGACTGAATCAGGAGGACATGATGGGCAGAAGCTCTCGTGGCTGTGGGGCTCCAAGCAATTCTAATGGCTTCCAGATGCAGTTCATTTACTTTGTGTTGCCACACTATGGGCCACTAGAAATGGATGCACTGACATAAGCGAACAGATGTAAAAACAAAAAAAGTAAAACACACCATTCAAGGTGAGAGTCCTAATTCCAAATAGAAAAAGTATATTAGTGTGGTGTGTCTCAGTCAGGAGGGCTCTACCAATGGCGATGCCTAGATTGTCCTTCAATCAGTTCTCATGACAAAATAATAAATATAATAATAATATGTATATTTTTCAAAGCTTTAAATTCTTTCTTTAATAGTTATGGGCTCTGCGGAACACACTATAGTGCTGCAATTTATACAACTTTTGAGTTTTTATTGAATACATTTATTTGAGCCATCCACCCTGACCTATGCTTGTAGGGAGTGGAATAAGGGTCTTCCCACACACTGATGCTGTACAAAGGCTCAGTGTCTGCGGGCCCGGACTGTGGCCATGCGTGACACCGCAGTGTGGAGCTGCCTGTAAAACAGAGACAGGTACGGGTCAGAGGCAGCAGCAGACAGAGGGTCAGCCTGGGCTTCATCACCCACCGCACTCACGCCTGATGCTGTGTTTGTGGAGGGAGGGCAAGCACACGGGTATTTTTAGAAACTACATTGATGGAAGAAGCAAAATGAACACATGGTGCTGTAGACTGGGACTCAGCAGGCTTTATTAGTAAATATGAATCCTAATACACACAATTTATGAGTGTCTTGTCATATGAGAAACATTATTAAATCAGTGACTAGATAAATTTAAATGGAATAAAAATTATATATAATGTTCAAAAGTGTCATTTATTGCTGTAATTCCACTTAGAATGTGAAAAAAATATGATATAGTGATAATTTTGATGATTGTGACTTATAGTCCATTGTCAATATTTCTCAATTATATTATATACAAACTGTGAGCCATAAATATCAACATTATCACAAATAAAGGCTTGATATATCTCACTTTGCATGTAATGAGTTATATACTGTACTAGTTTCACACTGATAAATTGACTTTTTAATGATATTATAATCTTAAGAGTTTCACCTGAATAAATATATTAGTCATATTCATTTATCTACAACTTGGATATGTCTTTGACGTAGACTTGGGATACCCTCTTTACAGAAGTTATTTGGATACTCCTATTAATTCAATAATTTTTTACAGACATACCAAACATATTTTAACTACATTACTTTAACATATTACTTTCAGCTATTGATCTTCAGTTGCCAAACAAAACGTTGACATCATTCAGCCAAAATCAGCTCGACCTCAATAGCTTAAGTCCTGGGTGTTTACATGACGGAGATCTAGAAAATGTCAAACAGTCCAAGAGGACATATGTGGCTATTGATCAACGAAAGCTCTACCGCACACAGCTTGTTGTGTTAAACCTCGGCATCAATTGATACCCTCATTAGCCAATTGGATTTGGCTGAGAGCTCTCCTCGCAAGCCTTTGTTTGTTTTTGTGTGAGAGAAATTAGTACGGTGGGGATGGAGACACAGACGCTGATAAAAGGACATGAGTACTGGTGACAGAGGAGAAAATAAAGAAGCATGGCAGTATTTAGAACAATTTGAGAAGTGACCAAAAGAATTTCACTTTGGTTGAAAAATATAGGTCTATCTTTTGGACGGCCACTATGTCGGGGCACGTATAATTGACCACATGTGGATCCGTGAGTCGTCACATGCCTCCTGGTGCCGTGTTGGCCCAGTACGTGCAGTGTACATATATATCCCATGCACTGACTGGTATATGACATCTGGTTTACATGAGGATGGAGCAGACTAAGAGCAGCCAATACATCACACAAGGTATTAAAGAAGCTATACCCGATTTTTTTTCTAAGTAGTTCATAAAAATGCTTTTTACTACATACAAGTTGTATCATAATACGTAATTTAATTGAAAACTTGAGGTCATTGATTCCACTGTGTATGAAATTCAGGCAGTGAAAAGTGCTGAGTATAGACTGAGCGGGCCGCTCGTTCTCCTCCGCTCACAGAACAAGAAGCGAACAGCCTGCGTCCTCTAGCCTCTACAGCCTGCGTCCTCTAGCCTCTACAGCCTGCGTCCTCTAGCCTCTACAGCCTGTGTCCTCTAGCCTCTACAGCGCTGCTCAACACCAGGGCTTCGACTTCAAAATTTTAATATAATTCTAAAATAAAAAATATATACATATTTGAACAAATATTAGACAACCCTTATAATTAGAAATGTATTTAATGACTGCAAATAAAATAGTTAGCTCCCAAAGGTTTCACCGGGACGTGCTAGGCAGGTAACAGCTAAGCTAGCTAGCTGTTTCATGGTAACTTCCGGGTTTTTCGCGATCGCTTTTTGTCACTTTAAAACAGTATTTTTGTCATGAAAACGTTGACAGCAAATTCTGAAATCGTCCGTGCATGTGTGTTAAGGATGTATCTGTATACTGTATTGTCCGATTGACGTTTAATGGTGTTGATTGATTGATATGTATTTGTTTATTGAGCGTGGCTAGCTCCGCTAGCTTCTCTACACAGACAAGTGTGCAGAAAACTGCACAATGTAGTGACAGGCGCTGATAGCTTGTTGTACTTGCAAAGTAATGGCAGTATTTTACACACCTGAATTACAAACAGAGATTGCATTGGGGCTGCGGTCATTATTGGTTTGAGAGTTCTGTTATCAAGAATAAATGATCGGAAGAATTGCATTCAAGTCAATGGAGTGTTCTACTGCTGCTGTGAGGAGCTGTATAATAAATTATAATTTAAATATTAAATATATTCTAATGTTTAAATTAATACATCCGGACGCGAAACGTATTCTTTTACTTATATATTGCTTATTTACTTATTAAGAAAAAAAAAAAAGGAGTTGATCTCAGGAGCTCTGGTGGTAATGGAAAAGGAGCTTACAGCAATAACTGAGGATGCAAAAGCTGTAACCTGTAAACATCTTAACCATGTGAAATATACCAGATATTCCATTTGAATGCACAATACATACTTAACAAAGTGGATGTGGATTTTTTTTTGGGTGCAAGAAAACATGTGCTTCTCAATTGAATTTTGGAGCAAACACCATGCACCAGTAAATCATTTGGATCCGGAGAGTTTTAGACTTGTAAGCTACATGAATTATTATGTTTTTCATAGTATGCGGGACCTAACTCATGACCGAACATTAGTCATGGTCCATGACTTATATTGGTTATTGGACGTTTTGTCTTTTTGTCTACTACTGTATGTACAGTGTTCTGATGCATCCTCATGTCCTTAAATTTATTTTGTTTATTGTACATTTACACACAAACAGATGAAATGTGTGTAAAAACAGCTATATGTAGAAAGTATTATGGTGCTGGCATTTGTGAATTCAATGTACTACAATCTCTGTATATGTATATAATGTACTTGTCAGTAAACTAATGTAACATGATTGTGTTAATGTGGGGAAAGCGGTCGTTCCGTTACTTCTGAACATTTCTCATGAGCTCTGTAAGATCAAATAATAATAAACAATATGAACTGACTGGCCAACATTATGAATCCCAACAAACACATTTTGTTACAAATGTACAAAAGAAATAATTCTATCCAACTATAATGTTAGTTCAATTGAGTCTTCCCATTTAATCATAATACAAAAAAATTGTCAATCAAATATCAGACGATCAAAGAATGGGACAAGGAAAAACATGTATTTTTATATTTACCGTTATCCCTTGATTTTTGTGATTATATATATTGGAATGTGTAGACTCAACGGATTCATAAAGTTTGTCAAAGTGTATTTATATTCTCATAAAGTGTCAGTATCTCCCATGGAGTGGAGTGCGTGTGGTTGAGCAGCCTTCGCAGACACAGAGGCCTCAGACTCTAATCCTAACAAGGAGACTAATGCAGGAGGACATGGATCACTGCAGACAGGAGTGTGCTCTGCCCTCAGCTGACGGAGACTAATTGAGCTGCGTTTGTGAGATGTAAGTAATGATACTAAAGATAAGGCTGGTTCATATACATACAGTTGACCCTGCGAGTGCAGGGGTATTTTTACTGATATCGGCCAAACCCTGCTTCAGACTTTACGAGCTTTATCTGTTTAGTGTCTTCATGTCAAGATCACTTTTCCAGAGGAGCTGTTCCCACACCAGTTTGTATTCATGTTTTATTTTTGTTTCCAAAGCAAAACATATATAATGTGCTTAATTGTCCTTGTATCTCACTTGTGCTTGAATCCCTGCTTGTGGACAGTTGTGGACAGTTGCTCTGCCCACTGCTCTCTGCCTGTGTGGCCCTTTTCATTGTAACATCGGGACGCTGTTCTCCTTCCAGAGAAACCACAATGTGTCACAGCAGCAGAAATAGATCGCATCACCTTAGACTCATGTGCTTGTTTTTTAAGATGGTTTGAGGTTAAGTCTGTGGACAAAAAATGTTTCTTTTCTTTGGCTTGAACAGTATAGTAACTTGTGTGGAGTTCGCTTTGATCTTGTTACAAGTTTTAATATCACGAGCTTATAATTGACTCTTAGTGTCTACTTTTTTATTACCTTACATATCTACATTTGGTTTTTTCCTTCCTCAAAATGGACCGTTAATTGCGTTGTGTATGACTCCCTCTATTGGACAACAAGAATACTGCAATGTCAACAACTAAAATGTCACCACAATTGAAAGATATGCCACACAGACCATCAGTTTGTCTCATGCAGCCAATTATAAAGAAACAAACACATAAAACAAACTAAATGTAACAATGATAAAAACAAAAATTGTGTTCCAAGATGTTTTTATAGACTGTGATTTCATGACTCTTGATAAGTGGCAGATAAGGAGGCAGAGGTCAGATCTGAGTGGTCAAATCTTGCACTTTGGGAGCGCTTCATAAATCACATGATAGTGTCTGTGGGGCCGGCCTGCTGCCCACCAAGGTTAAACCAACAGCGGTCTGAGGAGGAGGTACAGACATGGGAGGCCTTGCTCAATACAGCTTTGTCTTCTTCCGTGACAACCACACAGACGCGTCAGCCAAAGGGAGTAAAGCACTCTAAAAGACATGAGTCACTATTGACACAGTCGTTGCAAATAAAACAATATTAGTAGAATGTCAGAATGTCACATCTTCCTATACTTCGGACTTTTTCTGGTAAAACAAAACCACAGCGTAGGCGATGCAACTGCAACGTTTATTTTCACTTTCCATCTGCTGCTCTATCTCTACTTCCCTGTTAGAGCACGAAAGAGGCGAGTTACGCAGAGCTACAAATAGAGTCTTCATCTGTCTTCAGTGACAGTATTTGAATCAGGTCTGGAAGAGCTTATGGAGGAGCCGATGTCCAAGAAAGGCCTGCACATTCTGCACCGGGCCCTGTTTCCACGCACTTGGCAGACATCACAGCAGACGAAGAAACAAAAAAAAAATCAGTGCAACACTTACCACTTTTTCAGACACGACAGCCGAGATAGTCCCATTTTCAGAAAGGACGAAAGTGCCAGCCAACAATTGTAATTAAGATACAAAACGTTATAATAAATATAACTCAAGTAGTAAAAACTATTTCATCGTCAAGTAGGAGTATTGTGGGAATCAAGAGAGAAAGAGAGCAAACACTGGTCTTAAAAGATAAGCCACAACATTCAGAAAAAACTGAATCATATGTAAATTGTTATCATCTACATTTTGCATAATTCACATAGAAACAAGAATAAACCAAAACAATTATACTGATAAAGGACATTTTCCATCCATCCATCCATTTTCTTCCGCTTTATCTATTGCCGGGTCGCAGGGGCAGCAGTCTAAGCAGAGACGCTGAGACTTCCCTATTGACACACACTTCCTCCAGATCATCCCCAGGGAGGTGTTCCGGGCCTCTTGCGAGCCTGAGCACCTCATCCTATCCCTAAGCTAACCAAAAGTAATTTTGACCGCTTATATTGGAGATCTCATCTTTTCGGGTTAGGGTTAGCCATTACGCAAAGCTCGTGACCATAGATTTACTGGTAAATCCAAAGATTTTCCTTTTGACTCAGCCCTAACTTCACCACAATAGTCTGATACAGCAACCGTATCATGGCCCACGCTGCACCGATCTGTCTGAACAACTCAAAAAAAACAAACAGAATACATATTATGTCTAGTTTCAATATTGTAAATGACAACCATGCAGAGTTTCCAGTCTTGCTAATTGATTATTGATAGCAATAATACTCAAAGAGCGCATGACCTCGACCAAGACAACTCCAGACTGTGATCTTGTTCACCTCCAACATCTAACAATTAAAAAAATGTATGCTTTTTGAGTATCTTCACAGTATTATAATTCCATTTGCTCTTATCCACCATTAATCAGAGCCATTATACGGTAAAGACAGCAGTGGCTTCCAGCTCCAGAGAAGGCTGCTGTAATGTGTTAATGTGGGAAAGGTCAGAAGAGGCAAGTTCAACTCTAGAGCCAGAGCAGACTCATAATTAGAGTTCGTGTCCACCTAGTGTGTGAGTAATGGTAGATAAACAGGCCAATAGCTTTGGGGTACTTCCTGTTTTTCAACTTAAAGCTCAATTTATCTCCAGTTGCATGCTTGATGTAAGCCTTTTCTCACACTATGCTAAAGCCTGTCCTGTATGCATGCAAATAAGTTACAAGTTCATCAAGATAAGAGGTGGGCAGTGCCATTCCCTGCTGACGACGTATCACAGTGGCATCAGCCAGCCACATCATATCTTTTTTTACAGGAAATTGCATGTGTAATGAGAGGCAATTCCTCTTTGCTTTAAGATGAGCATGATGCAGGTGAGGTCAGGAAAGGGTAATGTGCAGAGGACCTGGAGAGATGTTATTGGGCTAAACATAATGTTACAAAATGGCAGACATGTATGCATTCATGTTTTGATGATCAATGAAAAGACTCCAGACGTGAAGCCGGTTTTCAATTAATCGGTCAATGGTTTCTGAGTCAACCAAAAACTGCATTTGTCAAATTACCCGAGGAACTGACAGTCAGCTTTGGGCCAGGCTGATGGGGATCCAAAATGAACTTAACTAATTATTGTACCTGATAATACCTCAATACCTCATTAATAGATTATAAATGAAGAATATGATTTTTGGATTGTATTAATTTTAAGATTGATCGATTGGGCCTTTTTTAGGGTATGGGCATGTGATTAGTCGTCCAAGAATGTCTTTGGAAAATTACAGCCCAAGAATTGACCATTTCAGGATATAAACAATAAAATGGCTTATCACATAAAGAATATAGACAATTACTTTAGAGAGCACTTTTCTTTGGTACATTTGCTGTACTTCCTATATTACTATAGAGCTTTTTGAACCCATTAAACAATGATAATTTTTTTAAAGATGCTTGCAGCCTACCTGTACCCTTTCACCATATCCAATCGTTGCATATACTTTTTAATTCATAGTTAACGCGTGGTTCTGAGTGAACAGGTATGACCGCAGTTGTTCTTACCTTTGCTGTCCCTGAGTTGGCTTTGTTTGTCGGAGGGATCTATAAGGAGGTCGCTTTGCACAGGTTAGCTTCATTAAAACAAAAACAAGCCACTGTTACATTTTGCATGTTTTATACATTTTATACTCTATTACTGGCTGCAATGAAAATGTCTTACATGTGTGCGATGTTTTTCTTCCATGTGTCTGCTCATGAACACGATTCTAGTTCGAGTGCACGTGTTCTCTTATGGTCAGGTCACCGCCGCCATGTTGCTAATGTTGCTAATGTTGGCTAATGTTAGCAATCACAAACTCGAGCTATGAACACAAAACATTTAACCAAATATTTATTTTTAAACTAATATCGGTGTGTGTATTTTCTAATGACATAACAATATTCTATTACACTCATGACAGCGGATAGCTATGAAGTTGAATGTACATATTTTGATGTGTGATTCCGGAAGTAGCACTGAGAGCTATGGTCATGTCCAGGTATCAAGAACAGTCTATCATAAACTAGATTTGTCCTGTTTGAGACAATTCCCATCTCTATGCTGTGGTCACAGTTCTTTACGTCAAAAGTGAAATGAAAGACTTCTCTCCTCCTTTCAAAGGTATCATTATGGTGGCAATCGCTGTGCTGTAATCAAGGACTAAATTATCTATTTTCTTCCCTAAACTTAGCGTTAATCTCAGAAAAATGAAACCAAAAAGGAGAAATTATAGATCTTTTTGCTACTTTGATACTATACAATTAGAGTTGACCTCCTGCCACAATCAGAATATTTACTGTACTACAAACATTTAAGCAAATACAGTGGCCTGTATGGAAAAAGAGATAAATAGATATCAATGTTAATGTTGCAATCAGTTTGTTCCACAATGTAATAAGCTTTATCATTGAGAGCAGGAAGAGTACATGTGTTTTCCCCAGTCATTTTTTGATAGCAATTAGCTGCACACATTTTATTATGTCGTCTTAAAGTCCTTTTCACTGGCCAACATCATGTATGTGTTTTTTTGCACATTGTTACCAAATAAACTAATTAGACCATATTAGTTAACTGAATATGTGCGTACAAAGATGTGGAACTTATATTTGTGTTGGTTTTATGCGGGATGGCCCAGGATACGGTCAAATTATATGAATATAAAAAAAGACTTTAAACATTACCGTAAGTTCCAGGTGGAAAACACACAGACCATTGAATCTCTCTACAGCAACACATTTATGACATATTATGACAAAAATAGTGGCTAAAGTACTTCAACATATTTTGGTCTGGCTTCTTTCTGTTGCATGATGAGTAATAGTAATTATTGTGACAAGAATATAGAGAAGCAGCCATGCATTCCCAATCATCTCCTGCTTGATTGAGACTATAATTTTCATAAGTAAACCTCAGTGTGGGAGTAGCGGTGTGTGTATTTTTATTTTAAGTGGCGGCCAGTGCTTGTAGAGGTGGAAGTCAGGCCTGATGTGACCCTCTTTGCGCCCAGGGGTCACACATTGTTCGGGAGGATGCAGACACCCAGGCTGATGGATGACCACTCAGGACGTTTCCCCGGCTTCAGCCCAGCGAGGGAAACCGTAATTCAGCCCAAGGGAGAAGGTGAAGGCAGATCTGCTCCCTCTCGTTCTCTTTGGGATCCAGGATGTGCTGAAGAGCCTCAAGAGCTCAGACAAGTAAATCAGGCTCTCACAGCTGTCTTCTGTCCAAGAGTCCAGGCGTTTATAGTGCAGCCAAAAATAAGTTAGTTAGTCTTCGTGCTGTACTTATGATCTAACATTGCACATACTGTACATGGTCAATCTGTTTCATCATCAGGGTCATTTTTACA